ATTTAATCGAAAAAATAGTTGTCCCTGAAATGTTTGAAAAAAATATGCTACAAACTGCAACAAAATGCTGCAAGACGTTTTTTTGTTAAATTCAGCCTCATAGTTTTACATGTAATTAAAAGAATATGCAGTGGTTGGTTGAGCGCATATGCAGATGAGCTGAAAAAAATATCTGGTCACAGATAACACAATAACATAGACTAACAAATCGTTCGTCCCTTCCTGATGCGTGACGGCATCTGTGGTACATTGATCCTTGATACCACACAGCGTCGCATGTTGCTTGATGGCTTCAGGGATCGGGAACAAACAGACATTAATATTTAACACCAGCATCGAAATAAAGGCCTCAAGTTGTCCATTGTTTAAATTTTAAACGTGTACGCCAGGGAATAATAAGTCGGGATTATCGGCCGAAACATTCTACTGCGTGTTAAAGACAAAATAGAGGGGGAAAAAATGAATGGAACACTGAAAATCAATGAAGGCAGCAGGTGATCATTTCTATACAATGCACCACATCAATGTAGAGTGCGTATCTCTCACTAGCGTGTTGCACTCCTTGCATTTTGATATATTTGTGTAAGGTAAACACACACAAAATTACAGGGAATGGTGCGCGTGGCATCGCTGGATGTAAATAACGGGGATAACACTGGGATAACAAGGGAAATAACATGGGAGAAAGCACGGGAATAACACTGGGATAACAAGGGAAATAACATGGAAGAAAGCACGGGGATAACACGGGGATAACAAGGGAAATAACATGGGAGAAAGCACGGGGATAACACTGGGATAACAAGGGAAATAACATGGGAGAAAGCACGGGGATAACATGGGGATAACAAGGGAAATAACATGGGAGAAAGCACGGGGATAACATGGGGATAACAAGGGAAATAACATGGGAGAAAGCACGGGGATAACAAGGGAGATGAAAGGGGATAACAAGGGACTCGGGATATAACAAAGGGGTAACAAAGAAGATACCAAGAGGACAACAAGGGGATATAACAAGGATATATACAGGGAAAAACAAGGTTAAACACGGGGTATAACAAGGGAGATAACATGGGCACAATAAGAGAGATAACAAGGGTATAACAAAAAGATAACACGCGGAAACACGGGTACCAATCTCATTAAAATCAGATCTTATTTCTTGCTACCGCTAAACAAAGATCTGAAGACATCCCATTAGGGGTCACCTCAGAACGACCTTTCATCCGACCAATCAGAGCCTCGCTTACCAGATTATGAAAGTGACAGTTGGAATGTGATTTCTAATCATGCAACCTCGAAAACTTTAATATGGGGTATTCCGAACGTTAGTTACGGGTTTAACGACTGAGTCTTTACAATTTAGACCATCTATTAGCCATTCCATAATGTTTTTTGTTCAGGTTTCAAATTGTTATCGAGAATTTGTCACAATATGTTTCGAAGCGTAGTCGCCAATTTGGAATTAGTGTCGTAAATCATGCGAAAGCTACATTCCGATTGGTCATTCCATTGGTCGGTCAAAGTTAGCGCAAGATCGGTCTGACATGCCCCGTAATGGGATTTCCTCAGATCTTTGCTTAGCGGTAGCGAGAACTTAGGTCTGATTTTAATGAGATTGCACGGGTATCATATTATGTAACTAGGGAATAGCACGAACATCACACCGGTGTGGCAAGGAGATAACAAGGGTATAGCACGAACATCACACCGGTGTGGCAAGGGGATAACAAGGGTATAGCACGAACATCACACCGGTGTGGCAAGGGGATAACAAGGGTATAGCACGAACATCACACCGGTGTGGCAAGGGGATAACAAGGGTATAGCACGACCACCACACCGGTGTGGCAAGGAGATAACAAGGGTATAGCACGAACATCACACCTGGTGTGGCAAGGGGATAACAAGGGTATAGCACGACCACCACACCGGTGTGGCAAGGGGATAACAAGGGTATAGCACGAACATCACACCGGTGTGGCAAGGGGATAACAAGGGTATAGCACGACCATCACACCTGGTGTGGCAAGGGGATAACAAGGGTATAGCACGAACATCACACCGGTGTGGCAAGGGGATAACAAGGGTATAGCAAGAACATCACACCGGTGTGGCAAAGAGATAACAAGGGTATAGCACGAAGATCACACCGGTGTGGCAAGGGGATAACAAGGGTATAGCACGACGATCACACCTGGTGTTGCAAGGGGATAACAAGGGTATAGCACGACAATCACACCTGGTGTTGCAAGGGGATAACAAGGGTATAGCACGACCATCACACCTGGTGTGGCAAGGGGATAACAAGGGTATAGCACGACCATCACACCTGGTGTTGCAAGGGGATAACAAGGGTATAGCACGACCATCACACCTGGTGTTGCAAGGGGATAACAAGGGTATATCACGACCATCACACCTGGTGTGGCAAGGGGATAACAAGCGTATAGCACGACCATCACACCTGGTGTGGCAAGGAGATAACAAGGGTATAGCACGAACATCACACCTGGTGTGGCAAGGAGATAACAAGGGTATAGCACGAACATCACACCGGTGTGGCAAGGGGATAACAAGGGTATAACACGAACATCACACCGGTGTGGCAAGGAGATAACAAGGGAGATAATAAGGAAGATAACAATGGCATAACAAGGGAGATAACACGAAAACAACACAATGGTAACAGGGGATAGAAAGGGGATAACCAGGGCGCGGGGTAGGGGGGGGGGGGGGGGGGGGGGGGGGGGGGGGTAGGGGGGTTAACCAGTGCAGACACAACGTGAGTGATGTTTTATGCCGCAGTCACCACTATTTCATCTAAACCAGGACGAGCGATGTCCTAGTGGCACGGGGTCGGTGGGGTAGCCTGGTGGTTAAAGCGTTCGCTCGTCACGCTCAAGAACCAGGTTCGATTCCCGACATGGGTACAATGTGCGAAACCCATTTCTGGTGTCCCCTGCCGTGATATTGCTGGAATATTGCTAAAACCATACTCACGTACAGCTAGTGGCACACAGTCATCTGCGTCTGATACCCTAGCCACACCAACCCGATTTCTTCGTATTTTACGAAAAGCAAGGGGACATATTCTGACCCTCAATCCACACAGGGAGACAAGCATGAGGTATTGGGGACATATTCTGACGCTCGATCTCCAGAGGAAGACAAGCGTGACGTATTGGGGACATATTCTGACCCTCGATCTACAGAGGGAGACAAGCGTGAGGTATTGGGGACATATTCTGACCCCCAATCTATAGAGGGAGCCAAGCGAGAGGTATTGGGGACATATTCTGACCCTCGATCTACAGAGGGAGACAAGCGAGGGGTATTGGGCACATATTCTTACCCTCTATCACCGGGGGGAGACAGGCGAGGGGTATTGGGGACATATTCTGACCCTCACTCACCCTAGAGAGACACGCGAGTGGTACTGAGGGGCTATTCTGACCCTCGATCACCATAGGGAGACAGGCGAGGGGTACTGGGAGGCTATTCTGACCCTCGATCACCACAGAGAGACAGGCGGGGGTACTGGGAGGCTCTTCTGACCCTCGATCACCACAGGACGACACGCGAGGGGTACTGAGAGGCTATTCTGACCCTCGATCACCACAGGACGACACGCGAGGGGTACTGAGAGGCTATTCTGACCCTCACTCACCACAGGACGACACGCGAGGGGTACAGGGAGGCTATTCTGACCCTCTGTCACCACAGAGAGACAGGCGGGGGTACTGGGAGGCTATTCTGACCCTCGATCACCACAGAGAGACAGGCGGGGGTACTTGGAGGCTATTCTGACCCTCGATCACCACAGAGAGACAGGCGGGGGTACTGAGAGGCTATTCTCACCCTCACTCACCACAGAGAGACAGGCGGGGGTACTTGGAGGCTATTCTGACCCTCGATCACCACAGAGAGACAGGCGGGGGGTACTGGGAGGCTATTCTGACCCTCTGTCACCACAGGGAGACAGGCGAGGGGTACTGGGAGGCTATTCTGACCCTCTGTCACCACAGAGAGACAGGCGAGGGGTACTGGGAGGCTATTCTGACCCTCGATCACCACAGAGAGACAGGCGGGGGTACTGGGAGGCTATTCTGACCCTCGATCACCACAGAGAGACAGGCGGGGGTACTGGGAGGCTATTCTGACCCTCGATCACCACAGAGAGACAGGCGGGGGTACTGGGAGGCTATTCTGACCCTCGATCACCACAGAGAGACAGGCGGGGTACTGGGAGGCTATTCTGACCCTCGATCACCACAGAGAGACAGGCGGGGGTACTGGGAGGCTATTCTGACCCTCGATCAGCACAGAGAGACAGGCGGGGGTACTTGGAGGCTATTCTGACCCTCGATCACCAACAGGGAGACACGCGAGGGGTACTGAGAGGCTATTCTGACCCTCGAGAATTATTACTGAACTATTAGTTCGCGCTGAATTGTAGATTGTTCGCTTGCCTGCTGTTTAACACTGCACGTAATAGCTTTTTGACGGTGGTCTGTAAATAATCGAATCTTAAACAGACAATCCACTGACATAGTATGAGCAACGATCCACGCCTTTGGGGTACGATGACTCACAGTGTAGTTACCTAGTCTGACCACCCGATCCGTGTATTCGGCTCTCACAACCAGCACTGGTTGCTGGAGGACCCACAGTAAGCAGGCACCCACAGTAAGCAGGCACCCACAGTAAGCAGGCACCCACAGTAAGCAGGCACCCACAGTAAGCAGGCACCCACAGTAAGCAGGTACCCACAGTAAGCAGGAACCCACAGTAAGCAGGCACCCACAGTAAGCAGGCACCCACACTAAGCAGGCACCCACAGTAAGCAGGCACCCACAGTATGCAGGCACCCACAGTAAGCAGGCACCCACAGTAAGCAGGCACCTACAGTAAGCAGGCACCCACAGTAAGCAGGCACCCACAGTAAGCAGGCACTCACACGTGTGCATGGCCAGATACTTAACGATAATACTCACCGGGGAGTCGAAGGTGTCAGTGATGCCAAAGGTGTCAGTGATGTCCTAGGTGTCAGTGATGTCCTAGGTGTCAGTGATGTCCTAGGTGTCAGTGATGTCCAAGGTGTCAGTGATGTCCTAGGTGTCAGTGATGTCCTAGGTGTCAGTGATGTCCAAGGTGTCAGTGATGTCCAATTTGTGTTGTCAGTGATTTCCAAGTTGTGTAGTCAGTGATGTCCAAGGTGTCAGTGATGTCCAATTTGTGTTGTCGGTGATATCCAAGTTGTGTTGTCAGTGATGTCCAAGTTGTGTTGTCAGTGATGTCCAAGGTGTCAGTGATGTCCAATTTGTGTTGTCGGTGATATCCAAGTTGTGTTGTCGGTGATATCCAAGTTGTGTTGTCAGTGATGTCCTAGGTGTCAGTGATATCCAATTTGTGTTGTCAGTGATTTCCAAGTTGTGTTGTCAGTGATGTCCAAGGTGTCAGTGATGTCCAATTTGTGTTGTCGGTGATATCCAAGTTGTGTTGTCAGTGATGTCCAAGTTGTGTTGTCAGTGATGTCCAAGTTGTGTTGTCAGTGATGTCCAAGTTGTGTTGTCAGTGATGTCCAAGTTGTGTTGTCAGTGATGTCCAAGTTGTGTTGTCAGTGATGTCCAAGGTGTCCAAGGTGTCGGTGATGTCCAAGTTGTGTTGTCAGTGATGTCCAAGTTGTGTTGTCAGTGATGTCCAAGTTGTGTTGTCAGTGATGTCCAAGTTGTGTTGTCAGTGATGTCCAAGTTGTGTTGTCAGTGATGTCCAAGTTGTGCTGTCGGTGATGTCCAAGGTGTCCAATGTGTTCTAGGTGTTACACTGGAGATACCCCTCGGTAAGACCTCATCTCTCCATGGTCCAGCACAACATCCCATTAAGTGAACTGTATTCATCCGCCCAGCTGCTGGCTGGAAAGACTTCTCTAAGTCACCAGAACGTTGCATCTTAAACGCGCCAGGCAAGGATACGCATAACTGACGACAAGGACAGTGCCGCTGTCACTAACGTGATTCCTCCCTTGGCGGCCGTCACTGACGAGTCTTTGTGACCGTCGTCATAGCAGCTAATGTTTTTTAACAACTGTTCTTAGTTCGAAAGGAAATTATCGAATTTTTAGATCAATACTTATGTCTATATAAACGCCAACTGTTGCGTAAAACCTACTTTGATAACTTGATAACAAATATTGATTGCTGGAAATGAGGTGTTTTCAAGCGGTTTGACAAGGTGCAGTGACAGACGTGGGCGACTAGACAACAGCATGTGATACCTGCCATAACGTCCTCTGTCAGGCCGGCTTGTAATGATTTTTACACCCTTGGGTATGGAGCACAGAAAGAAACTGACATATTTCCCAACAGACTACGCTCTGCCAGGAATCGATAGATGTCTTTGTTTACGGTTGTAAATAGATTGTATACGGTTGTAACTGAGAGGGCACCCGTCCGACCTGTCTATCGTCTCGGTAACGTCGTAAATAACCCGATAGTAGACTCAGTCGATGTGGGGGGTCCATGTTTTATTTAACTATCCTCTATGCAATGAAATAGTGATCACATTTACTCTGAAGTTACCATACCTAAACGCAATATCCTTTTTACCTTGAACCCGACCTGTGGCGTTGCCATGACAATTTTTAACAAGCATCGTGTTGGACTATATATCGATAGTGTCAACATATGTTAGCAGACAGAGTTTAATACCTGGTTCCGCCCCTCCACGAACACGCAGGACGTTGTAAACAGAGCCGATGGTCGTCTCGGGTACATCGATCAGCAGTAGCAGACAAGGTTCCTTGTTATTCTACAATAAAGCAGTTAGTCGTTCGACCCTTGATGAGTTTGTGAGTTAAGTTAAGAGTTAAGATTTAACGTCAGTATTTCAGCCATATCGTGACGAGTCCCTTGATGAGGTTAGAACAAGGGATAGTAATGAATTCCATATAAGGAAGTGCTTACTACGACATGGAAGGAAAAAAAGTCATCGAACAAAATTAGGGGTGGGTTTCTTTGTCCCCAGACAAGCTGTCGAGCGTTGACCTGGCCTGGAGGGGAAGTGAAGCTGGCTGGGAAAGCAACCTCAGGAAAATACCTCCGACACTCCCAAAGCACCAGTTTATCTGAGATGTAAAACGGTTCCTACATATTCGGTCTTAACACAGTTTAAAGTGATCCTTGTGGATAATAAGAAGAAGAATACAGTCTTCATCTGAAACGTTGCAAGGTAGAAGAAGGAGGATCAGTTAAGCTGGGGTAGGCGTTATTTGCCATCTCGTGGAAGGTCAGGCCTACAGGTAGGGACAAACTCTAGAATGCCAATATCAAGGAAACACTTCGGGCAGAGTACAAATGTAGACTCAAGATAATCTGGAGTTCAGAGCTGAACGCACACAATGAAGTCAAAGCCATAAATACGTATGCTGTACCCGACCTTTCGTATTCTTTTGGGGTGATGTTGATTGGACGAAACAGGAAATTTATCGAATTGACAAACCAAAACGAAGACAACGGATCCCCCCACCCTCGCTCTTCCCTCAATCGCTTATCTTTACAAATTATGTTGGGATGGCGTTATTTGATTAAGGCGGATGCTCTTCATGATAGAATTGGATTCAGTTGTCTGATGATCCTCTTGTGAAGCATGTCAAGAATCATGAGGAGAACAAGGCTTTCTACAGTTTCCTTAAACGAGCTAAGAATGTAGGACATAATCTCACAGGCAATGTTAATTTTGTTGATGGTTCTGTACTGCTGGAGGGTACATAAATTAATGTCTACCAAGCGAATTGCTATATCAAATCGACTCAGTTTTACAAGGAGAGGCTATCTGAACGACCACTGCATCGAGTTTATACGCAGTGTTGACAAGATCAGCAACCCTGCAGAGTCATTGACTTGGATGACCTATCCAGGCCAACAAACCTGATGTTGTCCTTTTTTTATAAATCCAATGAAGACATTAATATCATTGAAATTTCTGTCCCTTTTGGCACTGATGTGATTGACAAGATTCAGGGAAAACATGGCAAATATGCTTTAGGTTTGGTGCCTCCCAATATGTTGACTGACATTGGGAGAGTACCCTGGCTTGATACCAGAAATACAGCACTTCTGACTGTATAGTGTTCGGGAGTCCTCAATTTCTCCGAAAGGTTCTACACTTGAAAGACACACCTGTGTCCCCTCTGTTCTGATCGACTAATCCCCCATGTGCCAGTATCCAGGTGAATGTGGTCATTCGAGTTTCAAACTGACCGACATTGGTAGAACTGGATCTACGTCCAGTACAATCTGTGCAGAGGTCGCCAGCCTGACGTGTTGCCCTCAGTTCACACGAGCCAAATAGAGGTCGATACTAAATTGACAAAATGGTCGTGAAATCCTAGTTTTCACGATTGAAAATTCCATTCACATGTCCATACCCTTCTCTGTTCTACTTAGCCAATCTCTCTTTTAACAGCCAATGAATTTAAATGAAGTTATTCCAAGATATGACGCATGCGCACATCCGTTTGCCGTTCCATTCAACCATTCAATGTCTCATCGTGGTGACAATGACAGCAGACACTCGAGTTGTGAAACCTTTGCAGACAGACAGGGTGGACCGCTGACAGGCCAAGAACAGGCAGACCCAGGGTGACCACGCCCCATGATAACCGGTACTTGCGTACCTTGCACCTCCTGTGACTGGATAAAGTCGATATATTTAATTGAATATCATAGATACAAATATGAAATTTTGGACCTCGATAGTCACATATCGTCGTTGTACAAAGGCATTGAAAATTGTTCATTGACATGTCACATAAGGCCACAAGGTTGCACTAAAATCAGTATCTCGTGTGACCGCCCGGGACAGCAATCACGGTTCTGCATCTCCTCTGCACTGACTGGATAAATGTACGAATTCTGTCCTGCTGAATTCGGCGCCATTTTGCTTGTAACGCGTTGGCCAGTTGTGGAGTGTCTGCGGCGGTTCTGACGTTGACGTACACGTCGATCGAGTTCATCCCAGAGTTGTTCCATTGGGTTGAGATCTGGAGATTTCGACGGCCAGGGCAGGCCGTTGATGTTTGCATTAGGAGGTAGTCTACCGTGACACAAGCTGTGTGCAGTGGGACGTTGTCCTGTTGAAACAGCTCCCTCTGGCGGTCAATGATTGGAAGAAGGTGAGGTGGAAGAATTTGATTCATGTAGCGATTTGATGTCAACTTTCCCTGAACCACAACCAAGTCAGATCTCGTGTTGTAGGATATATATATATATATATATATATATATATATGATGTAGCTAAGGTACGTGCACGTGTTAAAACTGTATTTTGCTGTCAACCAAAGAAGATCTTCAACACCTTCAATTGTAAACTGTTTTGAAATGTCTCGCCTCATGAACACGTTCCTTATTTCAATATTGTATTCAGTTCCACACATGGCTGTACACAACATTTATATATTTTACATGTATACGACGGCTACATGGGCAAGCATAACGGTAAACACAAACGTGTGTTTGTTTAACATTTTTGTGTGTTGAAACACGTAATATTTTAAAGGGAAATATAAACATTTAGTCTGGTCGGGTTACTAACTCTGACTATTGTTTCCTGAATAAAATATTATTTACTTCAGATATACCTCTTTTTTTTTTGGTTTCATGTGACACCAGATGTTGTTATCAACCAATACTCCTGTATAGAAATATGAAACATCAATGCTTGAGATGCTAGTGAATAACCAATTTGGATTTGCCAAGGAAACAAATTCCTGACAACGTTGACAATAGCGGTAAGAATATAGTCATGGATCAGTGATGACCCTAGTTGTTTGCAAAAAGAAGCTGTTGCCTCAGATGAATAGATGAAGTTATGCCGAAACAGTAAGCTCTTAGAACTCTTGTTTGCCAGCTGGGACCATGTCAATACATCTTGTATGAAATGGATGTACATGTTGAACGCATTGACAGACAGTATTATTATCTTGAACGAATTCTGCAAACGAAGTAGACATTTGGGATTCCATTTATGCACACGACGATGTTTCATTTATCAAAATATGCCTATGTTTGTTTCAAGGGAACATGTTCTTCACCGACTTTGCTGCAGGCTTCAATGCAGGGTTGGAGTACACAAAAACTATTCAGAGACAATCAATTCAATTAATTAATCAGTATAACTACCAGTGCAAATGAAGAATGTTTATTATAACATGTCATTCTGTGATTATGCGAATTCTGATTGGCAAGCGCTGCATGTTTCGACTTAAACCGTAATAAACGCGAGATTGCGAGATCGCGACACCTGACCAATGTTGTTATCTCGCGATCTCGTGCTTTTGTGCCAATTGGCTATGCAGTTATATGTTATTAGCTTTAATAGGCCATTCCGGAATAAAATAGTTCCCCCAAAAGCGAGGAACATCTGTTTTAGTTTGTTTACAAGAAATATATTCCCAAAAATATCCTCATTAGATGAGATGGTCTGTTAAGGACTACCTCAGTAAGTCAATCACAATGACAGAGCGTCGTAATACATTATATTTACATCAAGTACAAGACGTCAAAATGGCCGACACGATAAACATGACGGGAGATATTTCCGAAGTTGTTAATTAGCCTGAGGCGATTTCAAGCCTTTGTGAACACTGATCAATTGGCCGATCATTGAAAGGTGATTGTAAAGATGTGTCAAATAGATACTAAGGTAATTTCATAGATTGCTTTAGATTGTCACTACGATAGTTTGGATTTTGGGGTTTTATTTCTCTAGGAAGGGTTGAAGCGAGGGTATCCTTGAACGGGCATGCAACCAAACTCTATGACTTATCTCAGAGTATGCTAAGACGCTACGTTCAAAATTAAAGGGTCTAAATGGTGAGAAACAACGCTTCTGTATGAATTCGTACTAGGGAATTCCCAGGGTGTTCCCCAGGAATGTGGAAGTAGTCAGTGCTTACATAATTTCAAGAATACAGTCATGTGACCCACCTCTCGTCCTATGGAAAAGCCATATCGTGTAAACTTCACATTACAAAATTAGTTACTGTTATAACCAAATGAAACACAACCCATTATCCGATAGAGGTAACTGTGCATAGCGGAGGGATATCTTATCTCAATAAACTTG